GAACTTTGCTTCAGGATGAGAACAGAAATCGTGCTCCGGCGGCGCGGTGGCAGCGGGAGGCCCCATTAGCTAAAGTGGTGCTTCAGGTTAAGAACAGTTTCAGGTTAAGTATGGACCTCCGGAATGAATTAAGTACTTAACCCGAGGTACCACTGTATACTAATGGCAAATTCATTCCAAGCTCCAGTCATCATGCAGCCAGTGGTACCAACCACTAACCACACACAAGAGGGAAGTATCAGAAGATTTAAGGGAACATCAAGGTTTGCAAAAGTACCAGGTCACATGTCGACTAAGCTTGCTTGCTCAGATGCAAGGGAACGTTGAGTGTCCATCAAGGGCAAAAATCTGGAGGAAACCTGAGGGAAGTGGGAATGCAATGGTGTATCCTAGAAGCAATATAATATGTTTTGTGAGAGGAAGGGGAAACTCTACACAGCGGTACCTCGGGTTAAGTACTTAATTCGTTCCGGAGGTCTGTACTTAACCTGAAACTGTTCTTAACCTGAAGCACCACTTTAGCTAATGGGGCCTCCTGCTGCCCCCGCACCGCCAGAGCCTGATTTCTGTTCTTATCCTGAAGCAAAGTTCTTAACCTGAAGCACTATTTCTGGGTTAGTGGAATGTGTAACCTGAAGCTATGTAACTGTAACTGTAACTGTAACGTGGCTCTGTCCAGCATTTCATTCCACTTTGTCTGGGTTCTGACTGATCGATTTATGAGTAATCCAGAGGCAATAAAGTTGCAATTAAGTCTGCTTCCCATCTCTCCCACTGAGGTGGCCTGATAGTTATCGGAAGAGAAAGGATTCAGATTATGTGACTTGTATGTAAAAGGTAATCCAATTGCATTACAGAAATATAGGGACACAAACTCTTAGCTGGCTGAGGATTTATCAATTCCAGCATGTATTGGCTAGTCAAAGCCACTTGTAGGATTTCAAAGGATGTTTATTAGTCCAGAGTAATAAGAATAGAAGGATGGGATCTGCTCTCTGTACAGACTGGAAGTGCCCAGTAGACTTTTACTGGGATTGAAATGAGAGAAAAAGCAGCTTTTACTGAAAATTAGTAGGACAATTTATGACTATCTAAACCATATAAATTAGTATCCACTAATATAAAGGAATGCTCTTTAAAAATTAAACACGGAGGGCACTATACTCTGGCACAGATTTATAGAAAAACATCTGGACACCCCTTGTGGGGTCAATTTCAGCAGAATACTGGCACAGGGGCCCAGTCCAGGTCTGGAACATCTTTCTTCAAAATAAAAGCAGTCAGACTGAGCACACTTACTTAAAGACATGAATGAGGTAACAGTGTAGTTTGGCACTTATCATAAGACTTTTAGTGATAGCCTGGGTAAGTGGTTTGTTTTTAAAATCTGTATCTTGCCACGTGGCAATAAAAATACTCAGGGTTGTTAACAAAACATAAAACCCATAACAGCAAATCTGTAAAAATTCAATATATAAAAACAATTCAACATAATGAAATGGGCAGAAAGACTATGTGTTGAATTATCAACAATCTAAAATTTTCAAAAACTCCCAATAACATTTGTTTCAAAACAGTTCCGGAATACAATTAATTTTCATTTGGTTGTGGGAGTGAGATGGTCTTCACACATTTTCTACAAGAAGGCCTGATGAATTTCTCTAGGTTGGAGTTCCACAATATGGATGACAATATCAAAAAAGCCCTGGCCCTCAGGCCTAAGGTCAGGGGGGGAAATGTGACTAGAAATTAACCAGAACCCAGTGAAGTTCTTTCATGATGATGGTTCCTGTGCCAAAACAAAATACCAACATAATTTTTTTATTATTATTTATGTATTTATTAAATTTGAATACTACCTTTTATCCACAAATCTCAGAGATGTAATTATTTTATTTTTGCTGTTCATTATTTTGGAGAAGGAAAACAATTGCTATTACAGCTACTGTGTATACAATGATAAAGGGGGTTAGAAAATATGGGAAATATGAGTGTTTACCTTTTTCGTAACACAGTTTCTATTCATTTTCTTCTTTAAAATGTTTAACATGGTTGCACTGAAATGCAACAATTACATAAAAATAAAAATAAAACAAGAAACACTCAGATAAATGTTTCTGAATATATTAGCCAAGTTGTAGCAAAATGTAAATACCAAAATTATTACAGATATGAAACGATGTATAGTAATGTGTATTGCTTAGATTGGTGGCCGTAAATAAAAGGCATTTTGTATCCATTAGAATTTAAATGAAGAGGAGAGGGAGGGGAAAGGGGAAATAAAAGGAAATATGTTCTTCATGCATGCCACTGTGCTGTAAACTATGGGTACTGTTCTACCATATGCAGGACTATTTCTGTAATCAATAAATCCATATCACTGCATAAAATTTGTGTTTCTTTTGGCCTTTTGCTACTTTTAAATTATTGTGTCAGTTTTTTCCAATAATGCTGTTTGTCAGATTACATTATGCCATTGGTCCATAGTTAACAATTGTAATGATTTCCATGTCCTGGCAATAGTTGTTCCTGCAAGGGTTAATAGATGTGTTGTGAGTTCTGTTTCCAACATCTTATGTCCATATTTGTTGTTTCCCATCCCTTGATATAATTTGTCTGATACACAGTAATTTGTTTAAATTATAAGTAATACAAATGTATCCCTATTGTGTTTTATGACTTCCCTGATACTGTATGTGAGCTGGAACTGGTCTGTGACTGAAATAATAAATTCATTCAATGATAAGTAACTTGAATGCCTAAGTATCTGAAGCTTTTTTTCCTCACTATTGGGATTTGTAATATTTTGGAAGCTTCCTGAAGTTGTGGGGGAACATGAAAGAATATTATTTCCAATTGTTGAAGATTTACCTTAAGTCCAGAGACATTAAAAAAGGTCTCCGATTCTATACTCAATAACCTTCCAGTGTTAAGCGAGTCTGATGCAGATAAAACAAGACTGTTGGCATAAAGCCCCAGAATGCATTCGGTTCCATTGATAGTTACACCATATCCTGCCAGAATTTGGCATAATCTCATTGCCAGTGGTTCTATAATTAGAGCAAATAATGGGCAAACTTGTTTTGTCTCACGGCTAAGTTGCCATGAGTATTTATTTTGTACTGAAGCTAGGTGTACCATTGAGTAGGGTTGTGTTAAATAATGGGAATGTGACTTTAATAATTTCAGGAAAATATTTGGCAAGCCTAGTTTCTGTCACTGTTGAAATTATGTGACAATAGATTTCTATACTATTCTAAGTTCAAAAAGCTTATTTCATGCACTACATGCTGTTTGTCTTATCAGTCTTACCTATTTTTAAACAGGTGAAAGAACCCATGGCATGGATGAACTAGCATTTTATTTATAGAACTGATGTTACATCATGCTGACACATCATGCTGACCCTTTTCTTTAAAACTGCCTATATTTTTTTTAAGCAACACAAAACTTCCTTGAAGGCTGGGAAGTACAGACATATGTCTTGACTCTCTTTATGATGCAGTTTTTTTATATAAAAAACCCCCAGAGATATAATTCCTCTTTTCAAAAAATAAAGAACTAAATAAATTGCCAAGACCCACTAAAGAACATTGCATGGCACACGGCCCTGAACACTGCTGGTGACTAACAGAACTACTAGCCAGCCTTCATGAATGTTGACATACTAACCTACTTTGAAGGTATTAATGCTGCTACCACTTCTGTCTCCTTGGCAATTTCACCTCATTAGAACTGCACCATCTAATTATGATAAGACCATTTATTTCAATTTTAAAGAATGAGAATGGTGTTCTAAAATTTATTCCTGTTAACTAGTTCATCTGAATAGGTATATTTATGTGATAACTATCTTGTGCAGCTTTTATTGCCTTTCTAACCCTGAACTCTTTATATTTGCACCAGACAAGTCTGTGCATGACACTGCAAAATAAACTGCAGTGCAAATTTTCATCCTTTGACTGTTGTGCATGTGGAGGTCTCCTTCTCTGTGCATATACTTAGTTTAATTGGGGTAAAAGTAAGCAGTTAAAGAGGCAATTTCAAGTCTGTACCCAAATGACTAAATGAATTCATGGATTGCATCTCCTTAATACATAATTGATCAAGGATGAATCATTGCTTGTTTTGGTACATAGAATAATAGGAGAAATGCTACTAGAAGTCACCCACCCCAATCCAATAGCTTGGTGATGAGTGTATTGGGATGTGATGAAAGGTCATAATTTAAATATGCTATACTCCAAATTACTCCTGAAATACTTTGTACTACATTGTGTCTATTTGCCTTGGTGTAAAACCATGCAAATGCATTGGTCTTTAGGAAAATTGGAAGCACAGTAAGCCATACCTCTAAGACCACTAGAAATGACTATTTGCAGCTATCTACCCCCAGGTGCCATATAAATGTGCTGCCCTTTCACAGCAACTGAATGCACCCGGGTAGGTTGTTGATTATTTTTCCTCTGATGGTGTGTAATAGGCTCCTAATACTTTATAAAGGCAAGTGCAGGATTTTAAAACATTTCCAGAATCATTTAAAAAGGCATTGGGTGAAGAACTAGATCCAGCCAGCAGGCCCAATCCTGAACTCCCCCACCCTTTCCTTGCGGGCCTTGACAAATGAGTGGAGCTCCTCTCCACAATGGCAGCAGGACTCAAAATAATAATAATAATAATAATAATAATAATAATAATTTGTGGGCACTATTCAAGTTATACATGTGTAGGACCATCCTTTGCATCGCTTTGTTGGTTTTGGTTATGTCTTTTGTGTTTTCATTTTGTATTTTTATGTTGTGAATTGCCCTGTGATCTTTGGATGAAGAGTGGTATACAAATTAATTAATTAAATAAATAAATGCTTGTGCTTACAGCAACTTGTGGTTTGCTGTAAGCACCAATGAGCTAATCGGTTTTGACAACAAGTCCACTTTGCTCAGGGTTTCACTGCACTATAGGGCTCCTGCTCGTTTATTTACAGCTGCATCTGATGCCACATGTCAGCGAAGGAGGTGGTAGGTATGGTTTGGGGGGAAATGGGCTCACAGGTCAAAATGGGGTACTGTGCTGAGCCTAATTTAGCCAAAGGAGCACAAGTTCTCTACCCCCTAGAAAAGACAATGCATATATATCTCAGGAAATGAGTCAGGGGAAATGGAGGGGGCTGTTAAGGCAAGCCTGGTGTTTTGAGTGGAATTTCAAAGTCCCTACGGACTATTAGGGGTTCATGATATTCCAAAATTATGCATTATGACTCTCTGCATTCAAATCAACCTATTCCTTACAGCTGCACTCAACCAACCACATTTGCTCCACCCTGCAGTCTTCTGACATTCACATTTCCAACAGCCACCTTTAGCCAGTCAGCTAAACTGGGGAATGCTCCCCATTTTAATATCCTTCCAGCACATGAAGCAACCACTTAATTCAACTGATTTCATTCCCTAGGCAGCGATGTGGTCCAGATGTTACTGGACCACACACTGTCCCCACCTAACCCCTGTCTACCGTGTATTGAAACTGTGTTCAGAAGCTCCATTACTTGCACGTTTGCCACCCTGGCCAAATGGCAGGCCATAAATTTAACATATACACAATAAACGCCCCTGCCATTGGCTATGCCATCTGAGACTTGTAGAAGTTAGGCGTCCACAGCATTTACCCAATCAAAAGTGCTTCAGCTCCAGCCCTATGAAGTATTAAAACACATGCACTCAGTCTACAAAATAATTCTCTTACAGTGAAAGCAGCAGATGCCCTACTGGAATTTTTTCACTCAGCTTCCTTTTCCTCCTGTTTTTAGCCTCCCATCAGCATGACCAAATGGCATCTTCGTCACAGCTGCTCCTATTGAGAGGCAATAATTCTCTAACCCTATTAATAACTGCCTCTGCTACCCTACCTCTGCTTCAGAGTATCAGACGAAGTGTGTATTACACACGAAAGCTCATACATTGAAAGCTTATATTTAGTTGATATTTAAGGTGCCACTAGAATTATTTAAAAAGATTTTTTTTCATCTTGTTATTTATTATGCTACCCTAGTGTAAGTAAGCGGAGTTCCCTAAAGCTACTGCACAGGCCTTTTCTACCATTTTAAGCGTCGCCATGGCAACCCCTGACAAGCACAAAATGGTGGCGGGAGGCACGCAGCCCCGCCCACCCCCGTATGCGCGCGCTACTACTAGCCCGCACCAGACCTAACCCTACCATACCGAACCCGACCCGCTTTTCGGCTCCAAGGGAGGAAAAGGCTCGCCTGTCGTAAAAAGAACGCGGCGAAGCGGCAGAGTGCGGAAGTGAGCGACGAGGAGATCGAGATGCGCACGCGCCGGAATCTAGGTCAACGGAGCTGTGCCCGCTCGCGCATGCGCCAGAGGGGAAGGAAAAGAAGGCGAGGGTGGGTGCGGGTCAGACGTTGAGGCAGCTCCTCCTCCAGTCCGCCGCCGCGGAAGTGACTGGGCTTGTTGTGGGGTCGAGGTGGCGCCGCCGACTTGTTTTTCCTTGCCTCCCTCCTCCTCCGCCTGCCCGCCCGCCCGCCACTCGCGTCCTGGCACGAGCCTTCGGGATTCTGAGGTGAGGGGAGCGCGGGGCGGCCGCCTTGGGTGGGGCGGGCGGCATTCGCTCCTGCGCCACAGACGCAACAACAAGGCCCGTTTGGGGGGGAGGGCGGGGGGCCGCGGCGGAGAAACGGCCGCGCGCACTTTCAGGGCCTGAAAGGCGTCGGGAGCGGTGGAGGCGCGGCTGAGCCAGGATGCAGGAGAGAAGCAGCCGCCTCCGCCGCGAGTCCCCATTGGCCTGGAGGGCGGCAGTGGGGCGCCCACCAGAAGTGCGCGGCGGGGGGCGTCCGTTGGGCTCCCTCGAGCCTTGCTTCCCCTGGCAGACCTCACGAAGCCTGTGGGGAAGTCGGTGGCGGCACTCGAGGGAGGGAGAAAGAAGCGCCTTTTGGTGGTGGTTTGGGAGGGGGGGCACGAGGAAGAAGCAAAGCCGTAGCCTTCCTAAATCAGAAAGCGATGCTAGTAATTAGCCCTTAGCCCCCTAATGCACCCTGAGCTGAAAATCTGCTTCTGACGTAAAAGAGTGCGCGTCCGTGTACGCCTTGAGCGACTGTTTATAAACAGCCCTGCAGCTGCTGACAGGTAAATAGACTTATCTGCCTTTCGTTCGCCTGTCGGTGTGCTCGCAGCCAGTGGGACAAAAGGGTGCAGTTGATGCGCTTTCGGTGCTGGAAGCCTTTTTTTTTTTTTTTTTTTTTGCCAGGAAGATTTTTTCAAAGGGAGAAAAGGAAAACCATTAACCCACACAGCTAGTATTGGGCACCTAATGAGTTGTTACCTGAAACTTAATATTTTGCTCTTGTGGCTTAGTACACGGGCTCTTTTCTTCGTATGGGAACGTGAAGTGTTAACTTGACTCAATTCTGATTTTTGCCCAGCAGGTTTTTAAAAACAACGGTGTTGAATGAAAAATCTAGGGACCTTGATTGCAAGTTGGAGTGCTTAACACTAGGCTGAACAAACAACAGTAGGTATCTCTTTATTTCACGAATAACTGCAGGAGCTCAAATATGAGATTTGTTTGCTAAAAATGTATTTTCTGGTATGTATCCAGTGCGCTTGTCATTGAAAGACAGCTTAAGAGTGGTGATGTTAAACCCAATGTCAATTTTCTTTCAGATGGTAGAGATTTTAAGTATCCTGTTTGATTCTTTGCTTAGTTCTTGAAGATGGTCAGTTTTTCTACACCAATTTTCTATGCATCAGATAAGGATAGTAGGACTGTTTACATCTTCACATGGATTTTACTGCAGAACTATCTAACATATATCTGAATCTAGTGTAAAAGGTACATAGTCGCATGGTAAACAATTGTGTGGAAATGTGCCAACTATTTTTTTATTTTCATTGCTACCATCTGAAGATCACAGGGCAATATACATCTAGAAATGGCAGCTGTTTTTAAATGACTTATAAAGCAATATAACATGATGATGTTTGCACATCATTCTTAACAGCCATTACATGTTGTTTCCTGTTACTTCAGTCCAGAATACATTATATTTCTATTTCCAAAACAACCCTCAGTTTACAACCCCCAGTACGTTTCCGAGCACAATTCAGAGTGTTGGTGCTGACCTTTAAAGCCCTAAACGGCCTCGGTCCAGTATACCTGAAGGAGCGTCTCCACCCCCATCGTTCTACCCGGACACTGAGGTCCAGCACCGAGGGCCTTCTGGTGGTTCCCTCATTGCGAGAAGCAAAGCTACAGGGAACCAGGCAGAGGGCCTTCTCGGTAGTGGCGCCCTCCCTGTGGAACGCCCTCCCACCAGATGTCAAAGAGAACAACAACTACCAGACTTTTAGAAGACATCTGAAGGCAGCCCTGTTTAGGGAAGCTTTTAATGTTTGATGTATCACAGTATTTTAAAATTCTTTTGGAAGCCGCCCAGAGTGGCTGGGGAAACCCAGCCAGATGGGCGGGGTATAAATAATAAATTATTATTATTATTATTATTTGAGACATTAAAACCTGTAACTTGGTTCTCAGTGTCTAAGTTAATACGACTGGTATGCTGTCTTCATGTTAAATAGTTGTTGGAATACAAGATGACTTTAAACCTGTATAATGGAAAACTAAACTATTGACGATACATAATATATATGGTAATGTGAGTTATTATGGGACAACTTCTTTCACCTGAACCTATTCTCAATTATTTCAACTGTCTGTGTTTTGGATTGGACATTTTATCTTGTCCTCTTTCAAAACTGTACTGTGTCATGACAGAATTGAAAATTGGTGAAACAAGCAACCTTTATATGGTGTCATTTTCCAGCATATCAGTTTGACTTGCAAATGGCAAAGTTTGTGTTCATGAATTCTCTGAAAATACCATGAATTGGGTCAAGTCGTCCACTGTGTTTACACATGCCACACTACACTTACCAATTTCTATTCCAGCATTTGTGCTTTAGCCAGTTTGAGATCATTGGCTGAACCTCTGAGAAAGGGCATATTCTCTTAATTTCTAAATTGTACTTAAAACTCCCTCATCAAAAAAAGAGGTGTACTACTTTCAGATCTAGAATTCTTAGGTTTTTGTTAGATATGGCACTGTTTGGATTTTGTCCTGATCTGGTGTATGGCTTTGTGCATGATCATCTGAAGGCACCCTTGATTTTTATGAAATTATGCCTTATAAAAAAGCATATGAAATGTGTGCGTCCTTTTTAAAATACAATTTTTTTTAAAAAGATGCTCTGCAGAGTCACCGAAACTGCTCTATAAATGCTCAATATTCATTAATCGGTTTTGGGGTCTCTGCATGATAAATATTTTGTTTAACATTCTGTTTGTCTACTTTTTATATAAAAAGAAAACTAAATCAAAGTATTATATAAAACAGAATAACCCGTTACATAAAACCATGTTACAATTAAAGCAGAACTAAAAACGCAGTTAGGGAGTATATGGTGAAAAGTGTGTTTTAATACAAAAGAATTTAAAAAGCAGTTGAGTCTACTCTTCAGGGTTTTATTTTTAATAGGAAATTTTGGGGGAAGCGGAAAGATTGTGGCTTGGATTTTATGTACTGATGGAAAGAGGTGTGCAATGGGTGTCTTTCCTCCTTCTGAAAAGCCTCGCCACAAGGCTCAGGGGACTGAGATTGCTGAGGGAAGTCACCAAAGGCACATTGAATGAGAATGTTGTCTACTCTTGGAAGGTGCCTCCACCTTCTTGCAGTTACCTTCAGTCTCCTGTGCCATAGCTCACCCTATTCAGTTGAGGCATTTCAGGGGACTGCTAGGGAGAGGAGATGGATAAGCCATCTTCCGCTCTCCCCCTGCCATCAGGAGTTGGATTCAAACTGTTGTGTATGCAACAGCAGCATCAGTCCTTGGGGAAGGGGGTGGGGCAGAACTGTGGTGGCAAAACTCCAGATTGCTTTTGTGCTCAGGAGGTATTTGTAGTTTAAAGGGATCAGTTTGGGGAATCTATAATGGCACCTTATGAGAATGAATGCTCATAATTTTAAAAATAAAAAGGTACACACACTCCAGGATCTTATCCATAATTTATCAGGTGTAGTGATGAAGTTATAAGGTGTTTGTTGGATTGAGGATTGCAGATTGAATGTTAAACATTTTCCAATCCTAAAGCTGGAACTTGGTTTCCTAGGAAGAAGAAAATTGATTTATTTGGTACAGTGGTACCTCTGGTTACGAATTTAATTCATTCTGGAGGTCTGTTCTTAAGTCGAAACCATTCTTAACATGAGGTGCGCTTTCGCTAATGGGGTCTCCTGCTGCTGCCACGCTGGTGGCGGCACGCGACTTCCGCTTGCATCCCGGGGCAAACTTCGCAACTAGGGGCATCTACTTTCGGGTTAGCGGAGCTCGTTACCCGAAGCATTTGTAAGGAGGACAGTACGTAACCCGAGGTTCCACTGTATCTTCCTCTCTCTGTGTCAGAATAGGTGAAAATCTGAACTCTGTGCAGTTGTAGTTCTTAAATTCCCACATATTATAGGAAGATTACAAACTCACTCTGAAATTCTGTTTTGGCAAACTAAATTAAAATTTCTTTGATATTTTACCTAGCCTAGAAGTGCAAGCAGACAGATGTGGGTGATTGACTCATGGCCGCAGATAACCCAGTTCATTCATCCAGCGTTAACTATAATTTGGACACATTCTTTAGGTAAGAGAATGCTGGTACAAAAATGTATTGTATAGTTTGCTTTGGGTTTAACATTGCCATATTAGTAATAGCTGAATGTTATCCATAAATATTTGTTCATTGATGTACTTTCTATGCTTTGTGCAGCAATAAACAGGCTATCTATGCTATGATATTCATCATGTTCTGTTGCTAAATAAACCAGAAATATGTCTTCTGTATGTTTTTGAAATAAAATGCAAAAGAAATATCAAGACAACAACTGCATTTCAAAGAATTAATAGTGAAGAGTATTTTAATTGCTGCAATGAGATATTAATGTAACTTTTTGTCCAACTGTTACTAACTTTTAAAATCTAGTTCCAGATGTCTGCATCTAATAATGTACCTACAACCAAAATACTGCCTTAATAATTAAAATACAGTGATACCTCTAGTTACAAACTTAATTTGTTCCAGAGGTCTGTTCTTAATATGCAACTCTTCTTAACTAGCGGCGTTCTTTCGCTAATGGGGCCTCTTGCCGGCACACAATTTCTGTTCTCATATTGGGGCAAAGTTCTCAACTCGAGGTACCACTGTATATTCATTCGAAGAGTGCCTAACCAGAATGCCTAACCTGAATGGGAGTTTTACAACTTTTGAGAAAAAGATGATTTGCACTTAGCAGTCTGCCAGTGAGAGACAGTTACGATCTCTGCCTTATATCTTCCACTCCTTGTACTTTAGTTATCTTCTGGGCAGCTTTTCTGTGAGCCAAGCTGAAAGAATCTGGCCCATCCTTTATTGGTCAGAGCTGAGTTCCTGACATCCTCTTCTCTCTTTCAGGGAGGAGTCTTGGGTCTTAGAGCAGATTCCCATCCATGTTACTCAGAAGCAAAACCCACTGTATTCATGGGAGTTTATGTTCCAGTGGTAACTTAAGGAGAGAGCTGCTGGATGAGACCTAAGCTCAGCATACTGTTTCCCAGCATGACCAGCTAGAAAGTCCACAAGCAGGGCATGTAGAAATAGCCCTCTCTTGTATTTGATCCTGAACAACTAGTGTTTTGTGTTAGGGATAAATAATCATCCTAACAAGTCATTGACAGATTATCATTCACCATAAGCTAATCACTTTTAAAGCCCTCTAAAGTAGTGATCATCACCATAGCTCGTGGCACCCATTTCCTTTAATTATGCTTTATGTGAAGTATTTTATTTTTTCAGTCCTAAATCTAAACAGCTTCCTTGGAAACCGTTAGATCGTTCTGAGAGAGGGAGGAAAGAACCCTTTCTCTGTGCCCTTCTTCCACAACATGCTTAATTTTTAAATCTTGTCATAACCCCTTCCCTGGTCACCTGTTTTCTGAAGACCCCAAATGTAGTTGCATCTCTCTTTAGAGAAGATGCTCCTTATCAGCCTTATTCTTGAGTTTTCGCATTCCTGAATAATTTGATCTCATGCACTTAACTCTAGGTTATATACAGGTATGAAAGAATTAGAAAGTATTGGCTCAATACTACTTCTTAGGAGATCCTACATTTTATTTCCTTCCCTTGTGAGAACTGCTTTCCTCCCATATGTATAAGTGTCCATAGGATTGCAGCCTTAGTTCCCTGTTTTGCACAATACTTTTTGGAGTATCTTTCCCTTTTCTGAACTTTGCCAAACTGCACAGAGATTCATTAGAATCTATTAGAGCCGTTGCAGCTTTCCTACAAATGGACAAATTTAAGAAGCAATCATGGGAAGAAGTCAGCAGTACTGAATCCCAGCTTCAAAACTATTTTATGATTTGTTGCTGGGTTGGCATTCAATTCCAATAGTCCAAAGCTCTTTCAGGGCTTTTAATTTTCCTGCTTGTCGCAAGCATGTTAATACAAATTGTGCTTAGCTTACAGAATGGAAATTGCTTGGTCGGCTTGCCAGGCAGGCTTGCCTTGCTAATAAGTATTGAGGGGACATCCCTGACCTGCTGCCATTTGCTGCCCTGTCCTCTGTATCTGGTTTCATTCCGATATAACGCTGAGCCTGGGTGAACCTTGAATTGTTTATCATATTTTTAGTACTTAAACAGTTGTAATTTTCTTAGTTGAAGTATAAAGGCATATGTTTGGATATAGTCAGGTTTGCAAAGCTTTTATAAACTGCATCGTACATTCTTCTGTGTCAGAAGTCTCGCTCCATTGGCGTTTTTCTTTCATGAAATTAATCAGTTCCAGATATTTTGAATTTCAAACCACTAGTAGGAAGTGATTTACTTGCACAAGTCATAGTTCCAAAACTTAACTGAGTCCCTCATGGGTTTCCTAGACTTGGCAGGTCGTTTTTTTCTTTGGTGGATGACTTCATAGGTCAGCCATTCTTCTAGGACCCCACCCTGCTCTAGAGTTAAGGAATCTTTTCACACAGACAGGATGACTCATCAATGGGATGGCTGTTCTGACACCTTAAAGGTACTTGTGTTAGACAGGAATTTCCACATTCTCTAGAAGTATGTGTGCAAGTGCACCTCTAATTCAAGGCTAGGTGACTTGTACAACTAGCCATTAAGCTGTAGTTGACTTAACTGGGGGGGGGGGGGCAAGCTTGAATCTATTTGGAAACACTTTGGTTCACATGCAATGTTTTTGTCTTAACTATTAATTTGTTCAGAGGAAAGTACCAACTACAGCTTTATAATTTCTAGATGTGCAGAATTAGTCGTTACTACAGTATTGCTCTGCATTCCGGTCAAACTGGCTGCATGTATGTAACCTGAAGCATATGTTAACACAAGGTACCACTGTAAACCATTAGCTGTGATTTAGCATGGTATGCTAACACTACCATTGTCACATGCTCTTATTTGTTTGTGAGGTAGATTATAAAATGAATACAGTGGTACCTCGAGTTACATATGCTTCAGGTTACATATGCTTCAGGTTACAGACTCCGCTAACCCAGAAATAGTACCTCAGGTTAAGAACTTTGCTTCAGGATGAGGACAGAAATCGTGCAGCGGCGGCAGCAGGAGGCCCCATTAGCTAAAGTGGTGCTTCAGGTTAAGAACAGTTTCAGGATAGGAACAGACCTCCAGAACGAATTAAGTACTTAACCCGAGGTACCACTGTACAGCAGTTGCAGCTTTATAGTTTGTGTCATTTTATAGCTATATATTTTGCTTGCTTTGTCAACTAATTCTCAGAAAACTATACTATGATTTTCACAGCTGATTTAGAGATGATACTGTAATAGTATCTGAATATTATTACTAAGACTGTAGTCCTAACTTTGCTTACCTGTGAGTAAGGCCTATTCAGTCAGACTTACCTCAGAGTGGATTTGTGTGCTGTAAATTGTCCTTGTTTGCTAGTAATGTTTTGGTGATTGGAGGACGCATTTAATTATCCCAATAATTAGCAGCCAGGGACTCCAGCAACATTCTTTGGGGAACCCCCCCACCGCTTGCCTGCTATTCATCTTCTCTGAATATAAGTGTTTTTTAGAGCAATGTGAACCTTCAGCTTCAATATACTATTTATCTTTCCTCTGGAAAAACACTGTCTTTCAGCATTTGTCTGCTCTTTATTTTTTTTAAAAATGGATTACTTAAGTGGTCCAGGCCTTCGCCAGGATTAGAGAACCACTTGTTCTAGAGCAGAAAGGTTGATGAACTCCATCTTGGCTCATGCTTAAGACCTCTTAGCTTAATTACCCCCCCCCCAAAAAAAACCCCAGCAACATTGGGTTACATAGTGAGTGCTCGTCGTACTCAGAGTAGACTCATTTAAGTTACTAGGCCTCACTAAGAAAGATTCATTAATTTTAGTGGGTCTACTCTGAGCAGAACTAGCATTAGATACAACCCATTGTTCCTATGTTATATATCTGTCTTGGCTGCAAATGTCTGTAACCTATACGGTACAAGATTATCTTTCTTGTCCTCATCTTACATTGCTAAAATATTTTGGGTTGTATCCAATGGTGTCACTCAGCAAGGTGAAGGGGGGAAACAATTTCTAGCAATTCCCCATTCCCCAAGTCCTAAATACAGTATTGAATTGTAAGATTCTCCAGAACAGATGGGGGCAGGGAGGAAGAAGGGAGAATTTACCAAAATTGTTTCACTCTGCTGGTGAAACGCTCTGCTGGTAAGTGACACAGTTGGACACACCCCTCTTTGTGCAAGATTTAACCTTTAAGATTAAACCTCTTAATATTTTTATCATTAATGAAAGATTTGAACTTCTACCAAAAAAATTATAATTCACAAAATTAAAAACACCTTTTTAATTGATTTAAAACTTCATTTGGTTAATCTTAAACGGTGGGCTGGGACCTACTGATGGGCCCTGGGCCACTTTCAGGGAGGCCACAGCAAGCCCAGTACTTGAACTACTCTCTTGGCATACCATAAGCTTTTGGTTGAATCAGTGTCAGCACAGCCACCATTTTTGCATGCTGAGTAAAAGTTGCCAGGGATGCAAGTTAATAAATATAATAGCAATAATTAACTAGGAATAGAAAGGAAGGGAATCGGGTAGAAGCGAATGTAGAAACAACAGAATGGAGGAATGGCTGTTGGAGATAAGATATGAGCTGAGTGCGAAAGGAGAATGGGAGAAGAAATTACAGGCGATGAATAAAAACACCTTTAAAAGGCATGTATAAAAGGGGGAAATACCAAAGAAAACTTATTTCCTGTTTCTGCTTAAAATTTGGAAGTGGGTAAGTTGTGATACTCTAGAGCAAATGTCAGTACTTGTTTTAGGAGAGCTGAGCTATGGAACTCCTTGCCTCAAGAAAAATACTGTAATCATATGTTTCATATATCACTTATTAGAACATGATTCCCAACTAATTACGTCAAACTGTGCTTATACCTGCCACTATTTTTTGACTAGCTGTGCAGCTGAACATGCTTGCAAACCTCCCTGTGATTGGGAACACTACCTTATCACTGTTTCTGATATAGAGACTAGTAATTGCCTTCATTCCAAATAAGAGGAGTGAAACATGCATGTGCCTCACCCCCCCTTTAAGTTTAAGTCCTTATGCATTGTTCTGAAAACTGGGACAAAGGATCAAACAATATTATAGCTTACAGAAGCAAAGTTGCAAGATATACTTTGGAATTCTAATTATTTTGTTTGTTACTGCCCTGTGTACTTTCATAGAGATCTACAGTACTTGAAAACTTACAGAAAGCTTTGCAGCTTCTATACATCTCAACAGTATTGTACCTGAAATCATTTTGCTTTCGGAATGAAGAGGATCAGGCAGACAGCTAAAGCTGAAAATCCAGTTCTTCAAACACTACAGAGGACAAAAAAGCAGAAAACTGGTTTTTACAACACTCTGTTTGACACATCTCATCCTTTTACCTTCATGGACTGGGGAAGTCTGCCACACCACGTAGTCTTGCATATCTTTCAATGCCTGCCTCTTGTTGATCGTGCCCGTGCATCTTCAGTTTGCCGGAGATGGAATGAAGTGTTTCATATTCCTGATCTCTGGAGAAAGTTTGAATTTGAGCTTAATCAGCCTGCTACTTCATACTTGAAGTCTACTCACCCAGATCTCATTCAACAGATTATTAAAAGACATGCTGATCATTTGCAGTATGTCAGCTTCAAGGTAAAGAAGCCTCTTTTGTGTTCTAGTAATAATTAAGAATATTTTATGTACATTGAATTTTAGAATATGTATTTGTCGATTTTAAAGAAACTTATTTGTTTAGGCTAGTGTTTACTGTTTTTTTAAGTGTAGAAATATCAAATAGAAATGTGCTGGCAACTGCAAGTTTTCTATGTCTCCAATTCCTATCTTCCCAGGGAAACCAGTGTTAAGAGATAATGTGGGCATCTCCTGGATTCAGGGTACTTTTTGTTGTTGTTAATTAGGTAGGGTTTACTTTTCAAATGCACATTCAGCATTATTTCTTTACCAATTTCAGTAAGTGAAGTATAGTGTATTTACCACCTACTTGGAGCATTTCAGGTAGAAATGTAGAGAGCCTGAAACCAAGGAGATTCAAATTCAGATTTTGGACCAATCACAATCTCTTGGCTTAACCTACTTCATGGTGTTCTTGTGAAGATAAAGGAATAGATTTTCTTCATCACCTTGAACCAATTTGGAGAAAGGGTAATACTGTAATAGCTTCAGGTTATTCTTATTATTCTTATTTAGTCATTTGTCACTTGAAGGTGTCTAAGTGACTTACATTAAAGAAAAGCATATGCACATATATAATGCTGTTGGAAAAAGGGAGAGATTATATAGTAGATTAACATTTCATATAACATACAAAAACACACCAGCCCCATAAACTAACAAAAACATTGGCAGTACTCAAGCAATAAACAAAGCAATACTTGCACCCACTAATTAGCAGATAAACAAATCTGAAGCCCCTTGCTGGTCCAAAAACCATTCACTTCAACCAAACAATTCCCCCTCCCCACCAAGAAGTCTGGCATCATGTGCTCACTGTCAACCTGCCTTTGGATTAAACTGAATCACTCCAGACAGCCTGGAAGGTACACTTCCTTCCAGCAGGTTTGGAGTGACATAGACTGCTTGCTATTTTTTATGAATATCTTTTTATGAAATCAGCACTAAACTCTGTGTCATGCATACAATATATAGTTGCTGCTCAAGAATCTCTGGGAAGCATTAATGAAGTTGCAGTACAGAATTTTGGACAGGTGTGCTAATGAAGAATCAAAAGTGCTTTGCAAGAACTTCAATGCACGAATACAAAGCAGCACATGGTGCTAGTACTCATTGGCTCTCTACATTGCATAATGAATATAATTCAATGTAATGTTGATTTTCACTAAAGTATTGCGTGTTGCCTTTCAGGTTGATAGTAGTACAGAGTCTGCAGAAGCAGCTTGTGACATCCTATCTCAGCTGGTGAATTGTTCTATCAAGACACTTGGCTTGATTTCAACGGCAAAACCAAGTTTCATGAATGTTTCCAAGGTAATATTCCATAGAGTTCTGAACTTGAAATTATGTCTGTAAATAAAATGAGGTGGGACCTGTTATAAAAGTTAGGTTTACTCTGCACCTAATGAATTTCTAGGGTAATTTGGGATGAGGTTGGGCAAAGTTTCTAATTGCAGTGGCAGGGTGAAGTTTATTGGGACTTCAGTACCAGATTTTTATGCAGGATGTAAAATGAGCATGAGCTTCATGTTCCTTTTAAAATAACATTTGATTTCTCAATGTCAATTTTTGACTTTCATTAATTAATTTATTGTAATTTCCAGTACTCAACCAGTCAGCAAATGGAATTAGGAGCTTCCACTTCATAGTGGCCTGTCAGTTATTTTTTATTTTGTTTGTTATTTCCATACATTTTTCCTTTGGAAAGAAAGATTTGGGAATAAAATTTTAAAGTCATATTTTTTTGACATCTGCAGTTGATGGTAATAGATCATTAATTTTTTAGTCTCTAGATATTTCTTGTTAAAATCAAGGAACTTTAAATACCTTTTACTAGCCAAATGTAAATGGTATTGTATAGAACCTAAAGGTTTTTTTGTCTTAAGACAAACTTTTTAAATGTCATGCAGTGAATATATAACTGTATACCAATGTTTTCCTTCTTTTCTTTTTTTGTTTGTCTGAATAGGCTCACTTCGTATCAGCGCTTACAGTAGTATTTGTCAATTCCAAGTCATTATCTTCCATCAAGATTGAAGACACACCAGTAGATGATCCATCCTTGAAGGTCCTTGTTGCAAACAATAGTGACACTTTAAAATTGCTCAAAATGAGCAGTTGCCCTCATGTTTCACCAGCTGGTAAGTAATCTGAGAAAACTAAAAGTAGCAGTTCATGATTACTTACTTCAATTAACATTTTATTTATTTAAAAATCATCTTCATAATTATCAAGGTTGCCTCTTACTTTACCAAGTTTATGAAATTCTTTTATCAACTTTTGTCTTTATTACAGAAGAAATAAACTGTATATATCATTATTAGCATTACATCTGAAAGAGGATCATGGCTTGTTTCACTCCAGAGATGATTTAGCCTTACGATTGGGTTGCAACAAAACAAAAACATTCCCAAAGCAAGAGCCATCTGTGTTGACAATGAACTATTAACTTTGCTTTATTGATATATGTGGATGCTGCCATAGTCTCTGCTACTCAGATGAAATACCTTTGTAGCCCCAGCATAATGTTTGGAAACTGAAAACAATTAAGAAAATCACAGCTTTATTCTCCATAGACTTCAAATTTTGGTGAATGAATTTCACTAATTGACTATGTTAAGATTTGAGTCCTTTATGCTTGTGTTGCTTGCTTTGTTAATATACTGACAAGTACTGCCTTTCATAGGTGTCAAATCCTTTTGGGTAAATAAAATTGTTGTGAAGGTTTTTGTTCTTGAAACATACTGAGAGAAAATATGCATACAGACAGCAGACTGTACAAAAGTTACATTTTGAAATGCAGTTATTTTTCTCAGTGAGCATTTACATTGCTTTCCATAGTGATTGGAACTTCCAAAAACAGTTCTTTACAAGCATTATTTCGTATCCTAGACCTCAATATAGAATGATTGCTAAAATATCCGCTGAACAATATACAGACCTTCTTACCAATAATCCTCATTTAAAACATACATTAATGTTTATATAAATAAGTGAAGCATTCAAACAGATATACATGGCAGGCAAAATCCTAGCCCTTATTATAGGCTACGTATGTAATGGCACAATCTTATACACCTTCACATAAAAGTTGTTAGATAACAACCTAAGAACTTGAAGCTGGTTTCTGATAATTGTGATGTCCTGGAATTGGGAATGTTTTTCAGCGTGGTAGAGGTAAACTAAGTTAGAGTCTTTCTTTGTACTTAACTTTTCTTTCTTTCTTTTTGTCATTCCTAGGAATTCTTTGTGTTGCTGACCAGTGTCATGGCCTTAGGGAGCTCGCTCTTAATTACTATTTACTAAGTGACGAATTGTTACTGGCTCTTTCAAGTGAGAAGCATGTTAATCTTGAACATCTTCGTATAGATGTTGTGAGTGAAAATCCTGGACAGATTGAATTTCACGCTATCAAAAAACAAAGCTGGGATGCTCTCATTAAACACTCCCCCAAAGTCAACATTGTGATGTACTTCTTCCTATATGAGGAGGAATTTGATGCATTCTTCAGGGAGGAAACACCTGTAACTCATCTTTATTTTGGCCGTGCAGTAAGCAAATCAATGCTTGGGCGTATTGGACTGAACTGCCCAAGGTTGATTGAATTGGTTGTCTGTGCTAATGGCCTACAGCCCTTGGATGATGAACTCATTCGCATTGCTGAACGCTGTAAGAATCTAACTGCCATGGGGCTTGGTGAATGTGAAGTTACATGTCGAGGCTTCATTGAGTTTGTAAAGATGTGCGGAGGCAGGCTTACCCAGCTGTCCATTATGGAGGAAGTGCTTATTCCAGACAATGACTACAATCTGGATCAAATTCATTCTGAAGTTTCCAAACACCTTGGAAGAATGTGGTTTCCTGATATGATGCCAACATGGTAAAAAAAAAAAAATCAATGAGGCAAAAGACCGAATTGGTCAGAACTGGCTGTACAGGGTGTTGCTTTCTATGCAAATAAGGAATCTTAAATATAAACATACTGAATTATTTTCCTCAGTTAATTGCATACCGGCAGTACTATGCCAATCATAAAATGGAATAGAGTATACTGAATAGTGTATACATTGAAAGTATATCCATTAAGTGCTTAGTTTATCCTCCAGTTAATTGGAGTATTTTTAACAGATTTGTATTAAATTGTTAAGCACGTGGTTTAGTACAAGTTACTTTTGTACTAGTATTTTTGGTGTGGCTAAACACTTTGGCCTTCTTGGTAAACTTCTGCCTAATGGGTGTCTGGATTTTGAGTTAAAGTACTGTTTCTCCTGTTGCTGTTCCTTTAATTAAAACCAGTGGTTATATACAACTTGTAAACAACAACAGCTTATAGTATGATGCCTGAGGCCTATATTTGTATTAGTATTGTGACAATGCTCAAGCTACAACAGGACAACTGTGTAAATGCACTATTTCACTGTTTCTCCCCCCCCAACCCCCCTAACCATCTGAATGCAGCCCTGTTTAGGGAAGCTTTTAATGTTTAACAGACTATTGTATTTTAATATTCTGTTGGAAGCCGCCCAGAATGGCTGGGGAAACCCAGCCAGATGGGCAGGGTATAAATAATAAATTATTATTATAATTATTATAACCAGTTGAAAAAGTGCTTATGGACTTATGTAACTGTATAGAAAACATTGGTCAATACATGTCCGAGAGCTTATGGTTTTTCTAGTTACGGATGGATGGTGGCACTGCAGATGGCAGCCATAGTGATCACAGCAAAGGCAATTCGGAAACAGCTCAGCCTTCCACCACTTGTAAATTAAGTTATCCTCCTCAGCAATCACTGCCCGTACATGTGCTGTAAGCACAGCTTGAAGCGTGGTAGAATTGCAAGTTCACTTTTCTCCAGGAGCTTTTCTCATCTTGCCAGCCTGATACAAGCAATCATTTGATTTTTCTTCTCTGCCGAACAACCCACAGAGAGAACTCTTACTACTTCCTGTACAGGATTCCATTATGTAAATAAAACAGATACCAGCATTGAGAAAGGATAGATAATGTATGTCTGTATAGTGTTGATGCTACTTATAAGTGGTGCCTCTCCAGGAAAATAACTTGTGTTTCTGAATGTTCTGATATTAAAGATACTGGTTACCCGAACCCATCAGTTTATAGAGATATTTCCCCTGGTTGCGTTTGTGTGCATGTGTGTGAGAGAGAAATTCCCATCTTTTCTGGTTGGAGGCTCTCAGGTTGTGCTCCCCTTACAGAGAAAAAACAGTTCTTTCTAACCTCCCACCCCACTACTGAAGCTCAGGGTTCTTGCATCTTAACAGTTGCCTTGGTACTGCTGCAGGATCTGAACTTATGCAAGTGTAAGCAACTCATTGCTAAACAAACAAACACCTTTAGTACAGAGTGGAAAGGAAGAAGCATTTGAAAAACCCTATTGGAAAAAGTTTGGCCAGTCTGCCCGCTTGTACTATATTTTGGTATTTCTGTTTGCTCCTGCCATGAAAAGTACTTCATTTTGGAAACAAGCATGTCTAGGAGAAAGGTTTGATTTACTTTCCCAGATGCACCATTTTTCTATTGGTTTTCATGGGAGAGAGTGAAAACTTCCTCCTGTAGTTTGAAGTTGTACAGATGACGAAATTCTTTATCCTGAATGAAATACAGAGATTGCTAGCCCAGAGATGTAAGCAAGACTGCTGTGTATTTCACATACCATTGTATGCAACATATCTCAGAAATGGTCATATTTAAGGGATGCCTGATTAGAGGTACAATCAGAAGCTCTGCTCTCTTCATTCAATATTTGATAGTACACACCTTTTCTACTTGGGAAGCAGGTGTTTAACTTCAGCTCAGTTCATGCTCTATTTGGTGCAATACTTTATTTGGCAGGCACATTTTATCAGTTGGAGCAGGAATTGGATTCTATACACTTAGTTTAAAGTCCCATTAAATTTAGCGAGATTTACGAAGTAAACATACATGATTCTGCCTAACTTGACAGCTGGGATTTTAGTAGAGTGGCATAGAAATTACCTACGCCTCCCACATAAGATCAATTCTGAGTGTTTCATTTTCACATAACATTTCCAGCTCTGAGCCTTGGGTAACTGTGGGAACCAGGCTTTGCTGATGTCAAGTAGAATGTTACCTTAACAAAATTGTTAAAACTGTAACCATGCAAATCTCAACAGCTGAAATGGATGTTCAATGCATGTAAGCACTGCGTTACGCATGAACAGGGTAGAATTTTAGTACAGATTTTGTTTGTAACCATTTATGCACAATTTCAGTGTAATCCTGTGAATGTTTACCCAGAAGTATGTGTGTTTGGTATTGTAGCCTTAGTTATGTGTTGTTCACATAAACTAGAGAAAGCAAAATTGTAAGATGAGTGAACCAGTTTCCTTCAGTTCATATAAATTGCTCCAGTTAAAGTACTAATCCACTTTATCACTACAAATGGGAAAGACATTTTTAAAACTTTAAAACTAGGGTGCAGTTGGTGAGGTGTGGTTGGAAGAGCAGCAGAGGCCAGGTACTTTGAGGTAAAGTGGAAGATATCTTGTCTCCTGATGAGCTTGAATCTCATAACCATATCTCACTATCTTTATTGTGCAAAGCTTCTTAAAAGCAAAGCCGATAGTCGTTTTGTACAGTTCTCCAAACTTAACCAAAGCCATCTGTTGTACATTATGGAAAGCTATAGAAGTTTAATCCTTGGTATGTAAAACAAAACCAAGTAGAGCCATTTCTACAAATAATTTTACACTGCTTACTGCTATTGAGCAGTGATATATCAACTAATGTATAATGCTGTAAATAAAACTTTCAAAACTACGTACATGTAAAGAAAATAAAATGGAATGGAGCTTATTCATTTCAGTTAAGCAGGGCTAGCATACTGAAAGATCTGCTTCCTATACATGTTGACTATATATAGTGTGTGGGGAAATGTACATTATGAAATTTGATTTTTGAGACTTGGAGAAGAGATGGAGTGTTTCAAAAGTCAAGGAAGGTTTAACTTTGCTTTTCACTAAAAATACTTATCCCCATTGCTGCCATGTAGGAATCTGCTTTTGAAACCCAGGGCAGCTTCATATTGCAGGTTCAGTGAAAAGTAAAAATTGTGCTGGGGAAAGGTAAAGAGACCTCTGACAGTTAAGTCCAGTCACAAATGACTCTGGGTTTGCGGCACTCATCTCGTTTTACTGGTCGAGGGAGCCGACGTTTGTCTGCAGACAGTTTTTCCAGGTCATGTGGCCAGCATGACTAAGCCGCTTCTGGTGCAATGGAACACCGAACCCAGAGCAGCACATGGAAGTGCTGTTTACCTTCCCGCCAGAGTGGTACCTATTTATCTACTTGCACTTTGGTGTGCTTTCAAACTGCCAGGTTGGGGTAGAAAAGACTTTTAATGTAGCACTAATGTTGTTTTCATTCTGTTCCCAGAAAGAAACAACTTGCACATTTTAAGTAGAGGAAAGTGATTACAACCTTTTTATTGCCTGCTGCAAAGCTCCAGAATGGACTATTTAGGGATAACTTGTAAGGAACAACTTCTATATAGTTATTTATGGGTGATAGCATTTTGCATCTGTATTAAGGTTGTAGGTGCAGCTCTCCGTTTTTGCTTTTGCAGATACATTTTGGCAACAACAAGGGTTGGGGAGCTGTTAACTCTTCCAACTTTTCTGTATGAAGAGTGCTGTAGTTTTAAGTGGACCATACTGAAACGAACATCTGGCTAGAACTGATTCCCCAGGGCTGGAAAACACTATTTCAGCAAGAGCTAGAGCTCACTGCCATCATTCTGCCTGCTGAATTTCAAGCACAAACTTGCTACTTCAAGTACAAATGTCAGTTTGAGGAAAGAAAACTACAAAAGTATATAAGCTTATGACTGAAATGTTTAGAAGCAGATGGAGCATACAACGATGAAGGTACTAATGCACTGAAACAGTTCAAGTTGTGTTGTGGTTCCATATGGCTTCCTAATTCTAGAATATGAAATCCAAATTTGGATGAGCCTTAATTTGGATCCAAAATTGCACATCTGAATGCAGAGGTGTGGAATCTGCAACCCTATAGAAATTTCTGGACTACAATTCCCATCACCCTTGACCATTGACTAGTTGCTTGGGGCTTATGGGAGTCTAACAACATCTAGAGAGCCACAAGTGCCACATTTTTTAAGACACCTATCCACATCTACATTCTGACACTACTAATCAGATATAGCTTGATCACAGTTTTGGCTCCAGTGGTTTGTCATCAATTTAAATGAATAGCTTATGTGCTCTGGCTTCTCTAAAGAGCAATATCCTTGGGTGAAATGCCCTGAGACCTCTGGCTATAGGGTGATATATAATTCATTAAATAATAATAAAGCGTTCATTCCATCCTTCAGTATGTAAACTGTAAGCCTTCAGAATATAGTTGTAATTGAAAATAAAAATCTACAAGCAGGATGCATATGTTGTTGAGGTAAATTGCTAATATACTCACATCAGTCGCTAATACCTTTTGTGTTAGACCAAACAACTGGTATGTTCGAGCTGCCACCACCAGATGTCGTTTGGGGGCCTACAATCAAAGCCATCTGACAGCTCATCCTCACTTTCATTATAATTACTCAGCTGAAGATTGCAGGCTGATTCACAACAACAAAAATACAATATGAGAACACAAGATACATAATAAAACAAAAATGAACCAATAAACATTCCCCAGACAAACACAAATGTATTTCCAGTTTTAAAAGTTCCAAGTGTGTAAGGTCTGTGTTTTATGCGTTCCAGTTCACCAGTGTCTGGAGCAGTTCCAGCCTAGGTTTTGCATTTCTCGTGGACTTTTCTCATGCCCAAGAGCTTGTTCCTAATAAGGGACATCTTTGAGATGCCCTCTGACATTTGTT